AATCGTCGATCGTAGAAGAAGGTTGAGCACAAAGATGTGAATGATGAAGTGAATGTTGATTTAAATTGAAAGCGCATTTTTAGGGATCACAACACTTCAACGGACGAGTTTCTTAAGGTAATGGGTCATGTCGAAGGCACATATTTTTTTGCATACACCACTATTAATGTATTTAACTCACATGTACCTAACATTGACATTATATTTTGCAATTACTGGATGGAAAGAAGAATGACATTGAACCTGTACTAAACACATATAGTGCAATGGATAAAAGAATAAGGTTTAAACTAAAGGAAAGCACATCCATTGAAGAAATTCTCAAGGTTTGTATTTAGTGTTGTTGTATGAGAAATACCCATGGAATCTTTTGCACCTTAAACTTTTCATTCGTTAACCAGATTTCAGGTTTGAGTGCCTATCTTCCACCAGTAATCATGGAGTATCCAGAAATAGACGAAATCACAACCGTTGATAATGCATCAATATTGTCATACATTTTTTATGCTTCTCTAGATATGAGGTATAATAGTCTAATACCCACGGATCTGAAAATTTTGTGTCATACAAAATATAGTAATAGAATTGGGTTACCACACAGTGAGGTATTGGTCAAATTCAATCACAAGTTCGCAACCAGAAAGTTAATGATGAGTTTAGGCCCTTTGCAATGGATTGCTGCTAAGGTGAGTTACATCGAATATTAATGTTTTTTAGATTAATAAATATGATAAAGACCTCCAAATTGATGCATTTTTCGTATATTGGTTTTAAAGATAATAAACTTGGTGCATACATTACGTTGGAAGGGAGGAAGACGAATTCGTTTAATATGAAGATTAGATGCTTTCTACCCACATAATTTTCGGTAATACATCCAACCCTTGTCAATGGCTTTATCATGGTTTGAAATGCAACAAACTTAAATTTCTTAGTTTGCACCATATTTGTGAATAAATTCAGCAACAGGCACTTGCAAGAGTATCGTCTAATGCTGGTGTACCGTGCACAAATGATTCATTGGTTAAGCTGTCTAATTTCATAAAAAAATTTGAAGATTGTGACAAGGTGCTTGATATAAATCTTACGTTCATATATATATATATATTGCTTGAATTGCATCTACCATTTCCATGTACTTCAATTGGGTCATTGACTTATTACTGTAGATTTTTATTCCAATGAACGACAATAATGAACATTGGTACTTATACATGATCGATGTACTAGAACGTGAAGTTGTAGTGTTTGAATCTATGCCACTAAAGGATAGTGACCGTCGACTAATTGACGTGTAGAAGGTGGTTGCGCATCTTGATTCGTTACTTCAGTGTATTGATAGTTTGTATAATCCAATTCTTCACACATTCCCTTTGATAGAAGCCGGATGGGCTCTAAGACAAGAGAATGGACACGATTGTGGTATGTTTGTTATTAAATTCATGGAGGAACCTTTGTTAGGTCATGGGTGGATGGTAAAGGTAATACAATAGATGCACTAAAATTGCACTAACTTAACCTATTCTCGAATGTCATACACTAACAATATTATTTGTCTGAGGATGAGTCGAACGAATTGCGCAGGAAGCTAGTTGTTCAATTGGTCATCCAGAGGGACAACAGATTGAGAAACCAAGTTATTGCCAAGGCATGTATGCATCTGGCTGACGGTGGAAAAATGATGTCATATGCTTGATTTAGTTGTCAATTAAGCGATTGGCTGTTTTTTTTTTTTTTTTTTTTTGATTTTTTGCTATGTATACACATATTTGTAGTTCCCGGTTTTGATAGGGTTCCACATATGAAGTACATGAACAAAAACCATATTTGCATTCCAGTTGTGCCAACACACATAAAAACCTAACGCAGTCATATGAATTTTCAGCCGGACAACTCAAAACCTTTAACTTTTTGTTACACCATCTTCACCCACTACTATGCAACATTCGAAATCCAGGTAGCAATGAAAAATATCCATGATAAAAAAAAGTGCAACCTTTAAATTTTTGGCATGTTTTTTTGCTCTTTCTTCTTGGGTCTGATGCCTGTGCAATGATTGCAATAGTCTGGGAATTACATGTTTCGATCGGTCGCACATTGAAGGATCAAACCATTAGAAATAATTGCACTCACCTGCCTCCTGCATGTCGTTATGTTAGTTTACATTATGATGTCTTATGGAAAAAAATAATGAATGAATGAAGAATTTGGTATCTTACCCCATATCTTTTACAGACTGTAAACCTCCTACCTGGGTTTGAATTTGTCCATGAAGTCCTCAATCTTCCAATTCTCCTACAGTCGCATTCTTGAAATTCCATAATGCTATAAGCTTATACCAAAGGAGTGTTACTATTTTTTTCACCCTTTTAGAGGAGTGTTACTCTCACCCTCTGTCTTCACTTGTATAAGAAGTAAGAACCTCATTGCTATTGGTGGGAACATTTCCCTCCAATTTTGTGGAATGCTTATGTTGGTGATTTGCCCAAAATCTCCTTTTGTCTCCCTTTTATGTTGTTGATTTGTCCAAAATCTCTTTTTTTATGTTGGAGGTTTAACAAACATCTCCTTAACATGGACATGGTCTGCTTCAAATGTACAGATAACAAAATGTGTGGTTATTAATTTTTGGTCATTAAATTTTACTCAAAAAATGCGATATTTTTGCAAGGTCACCTTTATTTTTTTTGTCATGGCCCACTACCATGAACGGCATGGTACCAATATTTCATATACTCAGTATCATAGAATTCCCTGCAAAAAAAAAAGGACTTACACTGACGGTGTGTATGTATATCATATTTTTCTATTTCTTTTTCCATTTTACCTTTATTTACCACAGGTATGAATGAGGCACCAAACTATAATCCGAGCAGGAGTACGAGACATGTGCATAAATTTGGATATACAAAAGTCCCAATATATTATGGATAAAGTCAACTGTTCCTCACTATGGTACATAAGAGGATAACTACAACCTCACTACCTTAAGTTAATTGTTCATAATAATCACAAAAGATGTGTTATGTCTTCCTTCATTCAACCATTATCAGATTGAGTTCTTTGCACAACTATACGTGGAGTCGGTCTACACATTGTCTCAAAAATTTAAGGATGCATCCAGTTATAAAAAGTTTATGTTCTGGAGCTTCAATGACTTGCCAATGATTTCATCTTGCTTTGTATTATCTGAAAGGGTAACCAACTTTATTGCAAGATCCTTTCTAACGTTTGACGACGATGCCTACATACAATTTTAAGTGTTATAACATTTGAAAAACATTGATGATCGAAGAAAAATTGTACATATTTACAGTATACCTTCATTATAGTTTGGCCCAGACGAGGTTGATGGATCATATCGACAACGTCAATTCCACAATCGTATCCATTCACTTGTTTGGGTGTCCAAGTTGGTTCAATCACGGGCCATGTATTGAGTACTCTTTCAAAATGTTTGTTTATCTGGAAAATAAGTTCACCCAATGATGCAACCTACTCATTAATACAATGAAATAAGTTACACTTGGCAAATCCACCCTCGAATGCGTTGCATGGATCATATTTTGCATTCTAAATTAGATCACACATACCACATCATCCACTTTCTTACGTCGTATACATTTCATTGTTCGACTTGGAAGAGTATCCAGTAGGAGGACTTTTTTCTGTTGTAGGGCCACAACGCATAAGTACCAATGTTTTTTGTCTTCGTTAATGGGGACATATATCTACATATGGCAGTTGCAGTCAATAAACTAGGGTGTTGTACATAATTAATTGTGAAGGTTGCTTTTGTAAGCAACTCGATTGTCATTTTTTATCCAGTCATACCTTGTCACACATGTTGATGTCCATGATGTATCGACCACATAATCGCATGAGTTTTCATTGCAGTTGAACACTAGTTTTCCCCTCAGATGTATAGTCAATGACTGTTTGCTACAATTTAAGGATTAGTGAAATTAGAAACACGTAAGTTCATATAGTACATTAAAACACAATATGAGGCCGTAAATCAAGAAAAACACATAAAACCAAAATTTGATTGTGAAATATTACCGCAAACCAAGTCGGAATATACCACCTGGCCTTCTCTATGTCGTTGTTTCCCATATCTATGGGTGGCATAATGCATGCAGCGAGATTGATTAACTATTTACAAAATTATACATATTTTTAATTGCATACATTTACTCAATGGCGAGTTAATTCAAAATTGGGTATACAAATATGGGAAAACAATATAACTGACCTCATTCGGCAACCAAAGTCTGGGTCCCAATGACTTCATTGTCATTCTTGTCGCATAAAAATTTTCAAATTGAACAATCATCTCATTGTAAACGTCGACATGTAAGGTATGATTTGCATAGGAACTGCAAATAATAAACACCATGTAATGGTATTAATTGTGACATGCTCTACATCAAGTCCATCATGAAAAATGTAGTTTCATATTGTATTTCCTATTTCATCACTAACATCAATAATATGGGGAACCAACCCATCAACAACCTAAAAGTGGAGTTTCTGTCATTTTAGGTCCATGTGCACTAAAAATTTAATTGGTTGCAAGTTGTGTGTAAAAAAACCTCATTGGTCCTGTCAGTCGAGACCTCGATTTCATTGTCATCCAATAATTCCTGGTTCACATTTTAATATACAAAGCAGCACACACATGTACTATGGTAAATGATAACATAGTAATATAGTGTACTCATGTGGATATAGTCTTTCGTAGGTGGTTCTCTCCCATTTGTACACACCTTTTCAGAAAGAGTTTCCAGCATCATTTTAATTTCATTTACTTCAATGTGAACCTAGCAAACAAAGCTTCATGGTCCAATCAAAATGCAGACAATGTGACTTCAACCGTAGACAATATCTTGTCAAAATCCTACTTAACATATTGAAGTGTCACTCACGGAAAATAATATTAATAATGATTTGTATTGTTCTACCTCCATATATATCCTACATAAGGTAACCTGCATGTTCTAAGCGTACGAAACGCCTGTTGTCCTCACATTATGTCTCAGATCTGGGACAAGAATATTTACTGAATATTCAACTGTTGTCCTCTCATTGTGTCCCATATCTGGGTCAGAAACATTTAGTGACTCTTCAACTGTTACCCTTATCTATGATAATCCAAATATTAGTTAATACCACATCATGTAAACAATATCTTCCCTTATGAAATAATTAACAATAAAACTAAAATTAGAAAGTATAATATCCATCATAAGTTACTCCTTTTTTTTTTTGAATCCCCCCAATTTTTTTAGTGAGGTCATGCGCTGCCCTATTTCTTTATCCTCCCAAACTGCGATCCAAGGGAATGGCCATGACAGAAATGGAATGTATGATTCCCTAGTTGGTGTCACACCCTCAAAATAGAAAATCTGCAAATGGATCACGTTCAAGTAATTAATAGAGCTGGTATGACTAAGAAAGCAGTATTCAGATTACTCCAAATTAGTCAATGAATTATCAAATAAGTAAATAATGCATTACTTGTAGCACAATGATACAGCCACAAATATTACACCTTGATTTTTCCTTGAAATTTCGTATGCCTTCAATAATACCATCATAAACAAATTTACTCCAGTTTATAGAAGACAATGCATTTACATCCACAAACGGCTTGGCGTACGAACTATTAATTATCATTTTCATGGTTGGGGAAAGAAGCCGGCCTATTATGAATAGTGCAAATAGGCGCCTAAAAGTAAATGAATCGTACTTTAATTCTTTTAGATTCCTAGCCAAAGTAGTCAATGAGAGCTCCCTCTGTCCATTAAAAATTGATTTTTTAAGTTCCTCTGGTCGGTCCGAAGAACCTGCAGTCTCCAACTCAAGGCCTATGTTTGACAACCCCATTATGTAATAAACATCCTCATATGAGAACTTAATTGATTTACCATGTAGATGTAATTGAGCCGTAGCGGGATCAAATTTTTTCACCAACCACTCGCATAAGCTCCTCCTCACCATAGTGCATTTCATGCAGGTCAACCCTTCTAAACTCATGGCCTTCACTGCACATTTCTAATCATCAGTTAACCCCTTACAACTTTTATGATAGTTGATGGCAAACAATGTGTACCCATTAGTTGCTGAATATAGATGTAATGCATCAAACAAAGATATCAAAAAATTTAAGTTATGTAATAATGCAGTGTTTGTCCATGTAATATATGTGTTCAAAGTATATACCCTTCGTTTCCTCTTCGCATTAACACCTGTATTGCCACCATGTGAAGATGCAGTGGATACCATCTTGTCAGTCATACTTTTCCCAACTGCAATATTTATCTTCCTCTTCATGGTAATAATGTGCATATATCATATATATACCTACAAAAAACAGACATGGTTTGTAAGAGAACTATTTTTTTTCGCATTTCATAAAACTAGTAATAACCCATGTTGAACGGCACGGTGCAACAAAAAAATCGAGCACCCTAAAAAAGCGAGGCACTATATCAAACTGCAACAATCACTTTTTAAAAAAAAACATGAACAACAGTCATACATGAAGATATTGTGCAGCACAAAATCATATATCAATTTCCTCAAAGTTTAAATGCTCTATGCAAATAACAATTGAGTAAAATTGCTTCTTAGTCTATTTAGGTTAAATGATCAATTTTCCACCCAAATAATTTTTTACGTTATAATGGAATAGTCTCCTTCCAATTAGTACAACATAAAAAAGGCTAATAAAATACACCACAATGTAAGCATTAGAATTATCCATATACCTTGTAGGCCGAAATCTATTTATCTTTGAAATGTTATCCCCTAATCACATCCTATTGCGTCACCAATTAGTTAATCAATCAATTGAGAATTAATTGACAACAATTTCACTCTTAAATATAAGAGAATATATAATAAAGCATATATTTCATGTGATCTCAAACTATATTCAATACCATTAGTTACATATGTATACCAAATGAACAAATGGCAAATTTTCAAGGCAAATATATTGTCTTCCCATAATTACCTAGAATACATGTGAGCCATATATTATGTGTAATACCATCTGTGCCATACCACACCATTAAAATAAAGCAAACCTTGGTATAAAATATTAGTCTTTTCAATAAATGAAGAAATCAAATATATAGTGGGCTGAGGTTCCACATTTCTATTCATTGTACACACATTAGCATAATTAAAACATATCCATTAACCAAACAATTGAAAAAAATTATACACAATAGATATCCTTAAAACATAGAATTAGAAAATCATTAGAGCAGATAAATCATTGTTCATTAGACACAATAAAATCTTGCAAATATTCAAAGGGAACAAAAATAAAAAAGAATCAATACTTTGATGAGGGCGTGCAAGCTTCGTTAATCAAGCAAATGATGGAGTTCAACCCAATGCATATATAGCAAAAATCTCATGTTCTAATTGTGTCATGGTCATATTATAAGATTCTCCCACAAAATGATGGAAAACAAATTCAAAACTTGCAATAGAGCCATTCCCCAATATAATGATACAACTATAAAAAATTTTTTGCTCATATCAAAAACCAATAAAAGCGTGAAGAACCATATCAGCAAGTAAATGGGTTCTCAAATTTAGATTGTACACTAAACTTCAATTACTGAAGCTATACAAAATGGTTTGAAGCAATACTTATTTCACTTGATACAAATACTATTTTTGTCAAACCAGTTGTAATTGAAGAGACTAGGAAATAAGAAACATTATTTAGATTCTACACTAAACTTAAATTTCACCAGACCAACTCATACACTCAGCTCAACCACCTAAAAACTGAAAAATAAAGGGTATAGATGGAAAATGAAAGTGAAAAATATAGACAAAAAAATTAAAATTAATGAGATGAGCAATTAGTGAAAAATCAAATAAATTGACAAATCCACCCATTGAATCAATAATACAAACACATCAACTCAAATTCGCAATTGAATAACAATCCAAATGAAAGTTTCATTGCACCCAAACTCAAACTCCTCAACTAATTCAAACCCACACCCATCAAATTAAAAATCTGTTAATTTTAACAACAATTAACAGATATCAATTCAAATTAATGGCGTCAACCCATCAAATTAATAGCATTAATTTTCTCCAAAAAAATCTATTAATAAAATCAATTTTGTCAAATTAACAGCCCTATTTCTAAAATTTTGGGTGTTGAGCGATGTGTGTGTGTGCTTGGGGGAGGGGGTATGCGAAGTGTTTTTTTTGCGAAGTATGACTGTGTGTGTTTTCTATTGCATGTGTGTTCCATTTGTGTTTGCATGTTTCGTTTATGTGTGTGTGTGTGTGTAGGGGCTAGGTTGCGCAGATCAAGAGTGACAAGAGTGGAGGCTAGGTTGCACAGAGGAGGGTTGCTCAGAAAGATGAGAGGTTAGGTGAGGGGGTTCGTATAAGGGGAGAACTGGGGGCTAAGAGTATTATCTGTGTGTGTGTGTCTGAGAGAGAGAGAGAGATAGAGAGAGACATAGAGAGAGGAAGAGAAAAGGGGTACCTGAGAGAAGACAAATGTTGTGGCGCAGTGGCGCTGATGATGTTGCCGGGGCTGGATAGAGAGAGAGTAAATAGATACAGAGAAATAAAGAAAGGGGAGTGAAAAAATGTGAAATGTGCAACGGGAGTGGGTGGGCGGGAGTTCCGTTTTTATGGAGTTGATTTACAGGTAGAAGTCAAAATTAATTTGGAAATCGAATGTGTTAACCCGATGTGTGTCCAACCAGTTTAATCAAAATTTGGTTAGGCATGATCCTAATTTTTTGACCCAACTAACCCAACAGATGCATCTTAATTGCCATTAAATTACTTCATTGAATTAACAACTACATATCCCAACTACCACAGACTCTCCTCATTTTATTTACACTACATCCAAAAATGTTTGTAAGAAGTCAACATACCCATGTTCTTTAAAAACACAAGAAGCATAGGAAAGATGCGAATTGGATTCAATTGATCTCCCTAAAACTATACATCATTTTACTCAAGTAACAAACCATTTGTAAAATGTGCGTACTATAATTGTGGTATATATGCAATAGTTTGTTTTATTTATAAATTATTCAAGTACTATATTTGTTATAATATATGCAATAGTTTATTGAGTTAGTCAACATTTCTTTTGCATTTTCGGATCAAAAATGTCTCAAAATTAACAAACAATGTATAACTCAACCTATTTTGTAATTATATAGGTGGAGTAATGGCGGGTACAATCAATGACAAAGGTAAAGATGTACTACTAGATCTTAATGTTGTCGTAACAGATGATGAGTACGAGATGCATATGCAAAATGATCAAACAATTTCTGATCAGGGTGTAGTGGAAAATAGAGTCGATGGGTTGATAGTGGGTGATGTAATGCAAATGATGTTCACCACAAATGAAACGTATGGGGAATTTTATAATAATTACGCAAAATTTTTTAGATTTAGTGTTCAGAATGATGACTTGAAGTATAACAAAAATAAAATTTCAATGTCAAGATGGTGGGTTTGTTCAAGAGAAGGTTATCGAGCACCCAAACACCTTGACTGCAGTGACCGCATCTGGGAATCAAGGGGCTTAACAGGGGTGGGATGTAACACAACTTTTCGTGTAAAGTATGACAATGGGTCTAAACAATGGGTTGTAAAGTACTTTGTCCGAGAACATAATCACCAATTGGTTACACCACAGGGTGTACCATTCATTCGATCGCATAGGCATGTGAAGAGTCTCGATAGAGAACAAACAAATGCATTGCGTAATGTTGACATACGTACAAGTCAAGTAAGGGATTTTTTTGGTGCAACAGGCAGAAAGTTATCATAATGTTGGATTTACCACAAAAGATTTGTGCAATAATGTTGCGACATAACGTCAGTCACAACTTCAAGATGGTGATGTAGAGGGGGCGTAAAACTACTTTAGTGGAAAAAAATAATCAGACCCTATGTTCTATTTTAACTATAGTGTCCATGAAGATGATTTACTAAATTGTTTTTTTGGGTAGACTCATCCTCACAACTTGACTATGCATGATTCGGCGATGTCTTGGTATTTGACACCACATATTGAACCAATGCACATAAAAAACTGTTTGTTATACTTGCAAGTGTGAACAATCATAACGCAACATCCATTTTTTGGTGTGACTTGCTCTCAGATGAGACTGTTGCGACATACATATGGGTATTGCATACATTTATTCATGCCATGGAGAGTAAGACACCTATTTCAGTTGTGACAGAGTGTGATAAGGCCATGGCCGGAGCAATAGAGCAAGTTTTTTCCAATGCAACACAGATTATGCAGGTAGCATTTGACAAGAAATGCGTTGTCAAATATTAGTGCTGAAAATTTTGTTCAACAATTTAAACATTGTATGTGTGGTCGCTATAGTCCGAAGAATTTGAGGATCGATGGAAAGCGTTGGTGGAGTCATTTGGATTGGAGAATAATAATTGAATAGCGGAAGTTTATTCCAAATGGTCAAAATGGGCGGAAGCATATTTAAGAGATAAATTCTTTGCGGACATAAAAAGTACACAACGATGTAAAGGAATGAACTCATACTTCAATCATTTTCTGAAGACCCGTCTCCGACTCTTTGAGTTTGTGAGGCAATACGACCAGGCTTTGCCAAGGATCTGGGAGAATGAAGCAAATGATGATCATGATACCCAACACACATCTCCTGTGACAACCACGCAATTGCGGTGTCTTAAAGAGCATGCAGCATCCATATATACAAGGAAATTATTTTTCAAAGTGTGCAATAAGTTGAAGTCTGAATCCCTGTTCCTTATAGTTCAAAAAATTGACAACGGGATCCATTGAAGTTACTACTTGTCTCACGACATGCAACCAAAATCAACATGGAATGTCATATGTTCTCCTCAAAATTATAATATGAAGTGCAACTGCTTGAAAATGGAATTTGTTGGTATTCCATGTTGCCACATCATAATAGTACTCAAATATGAGCGCATTAAAAGGTTCCTTTCGAGTCTCATTATGAAGCGTTGGACTATTTCCACAAAAGGTGAATTAGGAATGAGGATGTGCTGCCAAGAAGTAACACTCTGATCATTTCAACACGGTATGTTGGACTAATGGCCATGTGTAGTCGTATGTGTTACTATGCTTCACATGGTTACAAATCAACTTAGGACCTAAGAAGTACATTACATGGATTAACCTCCAGATGAAGACCAATCATGAATCCTTTGGTAGAGAAGAGGAGCCTCTACACAACACAAAAGTAGGACTACTGAGTTTAAATAAGTTTGGGTAGCTAATCCACTATTGTTTCAAC